TGTTAATCATGGGAGACTCAGATTTGATTATCCGACAAGCTCAAGGGGAATGGGAAACCCGAGACGTCAAGCTTATTCCTTATAGGCAACATGTGGAAGAACTTGGCAAATGATTCAAGTCAATAGAATTCAGGTACATTCCTCGCTGCCACAATGAACTAGCTGATGCACTTGCCACTTTAGCCTCAATACTACTGTACCCAGGCAATGCCTACATTGATCCATTGGAAATCCAAATTCAAGAAAGGCATGGTTATTGTAATACGGTTGGAACAGCACCAAATACCCAACCATTGTATCATGACATCAAAAGGTTTTTGAAAACGCAAGAATATCCCGAGTAAGCCAGTGGAGACCAGAAGAGAACCATTAGCCGGCACGTGAGTGGTTTCTTTTTGAGTGGTGATGTCTTGTACAAGAGAACTCCAGACCTCAACTTGTTGAGATATGTTGACATGGAAGAGGCTGGAAGAATCATGCATGAGGTACACGTGGGAGTATGCGGACCCCACATGAACGGGCATGTTTTAGCAAAGAAAATCCTTCGAGCGGGTTATTACTGGATGACCATGGAAAAGGACTATTTCAGCTTTGTCCGGAAGTGAGATCAGTGTCAGGTGCAAGGTGATTTGATTCATGCACCTCCCACAAAACTGCATCCCATGTCAGCACCTTGGCCATTTGTTGCTTGGGGTATGGATGTCATTGGGCCCATCGAGTCGAAAGCCTCAAATGGGCACAGATTCATACTAGTTGCCATTGACTACTTCATGAAATAGGTTGAAACCATCACTCTCAAATCTGTCACTGAGAAAGCTGTGGTGGATTTCGTGCACTCCCATCTTATCTGGCGTTTTGGAATTCCTACAACTATTATCATAGACAATGCTGCAAACTTGAATAGTCATTTGATGGGAGAGATATGCGAATAATTCAAGATAACGCACCAGAACTCTACTCCTTATCGGCCCAAAGCCAATGGTGTCATCGAAGCAGCAAACAAAAACATCAAAAAAATTTTGAGAAGATGATTCAAAGTTCCAAGCAGTGTCATGAAAAGTCACCGTTTGCATTGTTGGGATATCGCACTACTGTGCGCACATCAATTAGAGCCACCTCGTATCTTTTGGTTTATGGCACTGAAGCCGTAATACTCGCGGAGGTTGAAATCCCCTCTCTCCGGATCATCGTTGAAGCTGAAATTGATGACAGTGAGTGGGTTAAACCCGGCTGGAACAGTTAACCTTGATAGATGAAAAGCGAATGGCCGCGGTCTGCCATGGGCAGTTGTACCAACAAAGAATGGCCCGTGCCTACAACAAGAAAGTGCGGCCTAGAAATTTCGAAGTAGGGCAACTCATTTTAAGGCGCATCCTTCCCCATTACCAGGAAGAAAAAGGAAAATTTGCTCCAAATTGTAAGGGCCCATACATCATCAGAAAGATATTGCCAGAAGGGGCATTGTATCTGGGCGATATCGAAGGGAATGATCTCGAAACAGCTGTAAATGCGGATGCAGTCAAAAGGTATTATGTTTAGCTTTTTGCAGTGACAACTTTGTCCGATTGGGATAATAAAGGCTTTCATTCTCGCTACCCAAACACTCCTCACCCTTTGCAAACCCATTTGAGCCAGTTACTCTTCTTTTATTACCCTCTTGGAAATCGTAAAGTGTTTAAAAAAAAGAGAAAAGCAAGCAAAAAGCAAAAGCCAAAACAACAAAACAAATGTTTCCCTGAACTACATTCGACTTGATTCCGAAAGGATACGTAGGCAGCCTCTCCCTGGGGTTCAGTCACACCAAAACAAAAATCCATTTTTCCCCAAAAGTGAAACTGGGGCAGATGTTATAATGGTTCGGCAATGAACCTACCTGAACAGTTCCAAAGTTGTAATTTCATCCAGATTCTTTTTACCCAAACCTTGTTCAAGTCCTTCTGATCAATCAGCAAAGGCGTTAGAATTAGAAAACACAACTGTTTGAGTCCGATGCAATCAAACGAGGGAAATAAAATGAGAGAGTCTTATTGGTGAAAACCCACATGGGCACCATGAGGCGATGGTAAGGAGAGAAATGAAAAATGAGAGTCTTGTTAGAGAAAACTCGTAAAGAGCACTATAATGCGACAATGAGAAGAGAAATGAGAGAGGTCGATTGGCGAAAACCCGCAAAGGGCGCCATTGATCGAAAAGAAGAAATCCCTCACCACTATTGGTATTGAAAGAGTCCTGGCAAGGTTTCTCGGTTTAAAAACACGGGTCGCAATGGGTACATGAGAAGTTGGATAGTTTTGCGGNCCGAAAGGGACACTTCTTTCTAAATTCATTTTCTTGCCTTTTGCTTACTTTTCCTTAAATCCCTTTCGGTCTAACTCTGTTTCTGAAACTAATACAAAGAAAAGGTGGCAAGATTGGCTTTACAGGATCCTGTCTAACAGAAGCTAAAGAAAAGTACCCAGCCTTAGTAGGTGCATCAAGTCGATCCTGACTGCCCATGATGGCTGATGCTTTGAAATCAAATTTATTGAAAAAAAAAGAAATCCAACGGCAAAAGCCTAAAGGCGGAATAAAGTGAAAGGGTCGAATCCCCACCTGGGTAAACCGTCATGAAATCTTAAAAGCTAAGTCCCCCAGTTTGAAAGATAGATCAATCTTTAGAAAACCACTAAGCAGCAGAGGTTCTCAACAAAGGTTCGGGCCGAGATCGAGTGATTGAGACAATCAAGGCCATAAAACAAACCATCGTTTCAAACTAACAATTGTTCTTTGTTTAAAATTGAAACAGGTGCAACCCAAGGCAACTGTGCAAAAGCAGGTGCAACCAAAAGAAAAGCTACGCAAAAGCTTGAAACAGCTGCGCAGAAACAATCAATCCAAAAGAGAAGTTTTTCTCCAAAATTCTTTCCTGCATTTTATTGAAATAAAAGAAATGAAAGGGAAAATGAAAAAAAAAAGAGAAGGAAAGAAGAAAATTTGAACAAAATGATAGTTCAGAATCCCAAATCTCAACCTGTTACGCCTTTTTGCCAACATTAGGGCTCCAATCCCTGAGTTGAGCTTTTTAGACATAGGGCCTCCATTCTCTAGTCGCCTTTTGCCAACATTAGGGCTCCAATCCCTGAGTTGAATTTTTTTTAGACATAGGGCCTTCATTCCCTAGTCTCCTTTTTCCAACATTAAGGCTCCAATCCCTGAGTTGAGCTTTTTAGACATACGGCCTCCATTCCCTAGTCGCCTTTTGCCAATATTAGGGCTCTAATCCCTGAGTTGAGCCTTTCTAGACATAGGGCCTCCATTCCCTAGTCGCCTTTTGCCAACATTAGGGCACCAATCCCTGATTTGAGCCTTTTTAGACATAAGGCCTCCATTCTCTAGTCGTCTTTTGCCAATATTAGGGCTCCAATCCCTGAGTTGAGCTTTTTAGACATGGGGCCTTCATTCCCTAGTCGCCTTTTTGCCAACATTAGGGCTCCAATCCCTGAGTTGAGCCTTTTTAGACATAGGGCCTCCATTCCCTAAT